AAAAAAAAAAAAAAAAAAAACCCCAGAAGAATTGGTAATATGGCACAAAGAAAATATGGTATCTCACCTATGAATGAACCACCAAATGGAGTGATAAGGCGAGATTAAATCAAAAGACAAAAAAAAGAAAAGATGCATCACTCTAGACGTACTCTCTTGAAATGCTGTCACGACGATCTTGAAACCGGGTGTCATTGCTTCGCTGTTTGGAAACTGGAATCTGGGAGAATTCGATGTACTAAAGGGAAGAAGGCAAAGAAAATCAGAATGTTGTGACCCTCAATTTGTTTTACCTTACTGAGAAGTTTATTAGGAACTGATTAAATACCTACATAACACTATCCCTGGGTGTTTACTTTTTGTGTAGTAAGGTTCATTCTAGACCCGAATGCAGCCCGGGCTGGCCATTTTAAATCTCAGAAAACCGCAGTGTAGTTAATTCAAGCATGATGTAGGGGACACCATTACGCATACACAGAACCCACTATTGGATTCAACTGTTTCTGAAATCCGATACAACGCAAATGAACTTAGCTACTCCAGGAAAGGCACCCTTTAAATCAGTCACAATCTTATTAATTCATCTTTTAACCAAAAATTCCTCTCAAACTTAGAGAATAGGATCTAAGCATTTCTTGCGACTAACCAAAAAATTATATTATGTTGGGGTACATAATGCTGAAAACTCCACTTTGATTTGATTGGTAAGTTGCTAACCCGACGATTTCTAGATTGGCTACTTTTGTGGGATAAAGTGAACAGTTCGCAGGCCAAAGGAAACCAAAAATTAATTAGTAGGTATGCTACATTGATGTCCTCAAACTAAAGTACCTCGAATTTTTCCCTTGCGACAGTCATTAAAATGGCTTTGCATTGACAAAAACTAGAATAAAACGGAGATTCATCTAGTGAACAAACGCAATATCGGGGATTTAATTCCGGCCAAACCAAACTTTGTGCGATTTTGATGACATGTTGCATGGAATTATCTAAAAATCGCATTCCTTAAAAGCTATCAAAAAATATCACTTGAGCCAGGCATGCCTAGTAATGTCGTGTGGCAAACATCGACAATACATCATGCTGCTCAAATTGGGACAAGTCGGATGATAAGATCTTCTTGTAACTTGGCCTAGAAGTTATCCACAAAGATATTCAAGGTTGAAAAGAAATGCATAGATTTAATAGAGAGATGCAATATTTACTATTCCTTTATGATATTCAGGCAAGCGATTTAGTCCGACGCAACGAGCCCATATAGATGGACGTAATAGTTCTTTTTTGCTCCAGAGAATGGGAACTAGGGTAGCAACTAAAGCAACTTATTTCAGGCCCAGAATTTTGCAAAAGTCATGCGAAAAGTGATGGAAAGAAAGACGCACTGAAATGCAATACAGATGTAGGATTTGGACGAGAAAACCGGAATTTTGGGGTAATGAGATAAGCAGAGACCCTGTTCGCCACCAGCTTCAGGCTATAAAAAAAAAATAAAAAAGCAATGATCAGTAAATACGACCGACCAATCCCTTTTCCATGGTCAAAACGCTGCGGAGGCAAGGTGCACGAAACGCCATTTGGTGTGTACGTTTCTGAACTCTGCGACACCGAAAACTTTGAACACTTTTCCAGTCGGTAAAACATGATAGACCTCAGAATCAGATTATGTGGCCGAAGTTTGGAATAAGAGCCCCTACTTAAAATCTAGCGAACGCATACAACACAGTAAAGTAGTATGCCTCAACTCGCGCACATCTGTGACCTCCAACCAGAAGGTAAAAGTGGCAATTTTGGAATAATTAGTAAACGAGAATTTAAGAAAAACTTGACTTAGTAGACGCTGCAACGACAAGCATACCTAATTACAGGTGGAGTAAGATTTGACGATAAAATGTTGCAAAAAGGTGGAAAAGTTAGGTGGTGAATGCTATTATATCAGTTCGAATTCCTACCATGGCCTTAGATCTGGCTGTATTTGAGTCAAAAACGTAGAGGAAGTCGTCCTTACAGGTTTGATCACTGGAGGGTATAAAAAAGGATTCGATAGTGAGCATGATCCGTCCATTATCGAGAGGCGCATGAATAACAACTTCGCAGGAGAAAGCAAGAGGATACTGAGCGTAATAATTCTGTCCCAGAATTGTAGATGAGGCATTGGGCAACGCGTCAGATTCAAAATCATGCGAGTAAATGATGGCGCCACTCTCGAGATCATCTATTCGAAGAGTTTTTGTCTGCGACTCTTCTAGTCCAACGATCGATGTTGGCATCGACGTGCAATCTCTCGATAAAATGACTACAGCGTAAAAGTACTATCTTAGAGGGAGCTAAAAGTTCTATTTAAAGTGGACATATTAATAACCGAATTTCTTTTGAAATCACACTAACTAGTTAATATGACTGAGGGGTGAGCATCAAAAGATTGTGGCATGCAACATAATGAAATCAGAGCAAGTAGCGAGTAAGGTTTGCTTATGGGAAATAATACTGCTGGCCTCCACGAAAGACATTCAAGTGAAACTGAAAATCGACTGTACAAATAATAGTAAAACACACTATACTAGTTGTATATTTAGCTATGATTACAAAGTCAGAATAACGCTATCCAGATTTGGACTTCCTGTTGCATACATCAGTGTTAGAAATTATGACAAACAGAAGGAACGTTGATGTACAATTAAAGTTTTAAATAACTTACATTTCCTAGGGTTGGTAGCACTGCCGGTGGCCCAAATGCACATAGGTAGTGCAAGAAATAGAGTATATACAGGAAAAAATAAATGCATCCCTTCATATTCTCATCCGCCTAACGTTCATGTCATATTCGAGACCAATTTTGAAAATGTTCAGCCCAAGCGAGAATGGCCTAGCCAATCCGACCAATCAAAACACTGAATCGCCATTACCTTGCAGATCAATTTGCTTCAAAAAGAGATTTAATCACACTGTTTAAACATCACTGAGACAGTTGTTCTACTTAAATTACTTATAGGCTTTAGCTAAAGTATTCACAAAGTAATCATTAAAAAAATTTTTAACAAAATTTTTGGGGATTTTATTAACTGTTGTGCCCCAAAATGAATTGCTTCATAAGCAACATTTACATTCAGAATCGAAATGGGTTTTTAAGTAAAATTCTCCAAAGCTCCAAAGTAATTTACAACTTTTATTATTAAAAGGGTTTTTTGCGTTAGATATGCCCTAATTACCTGGACTTTTGACTTTGAGCCTTGGAGCAACTAATGCCATTATGCGAAAATGTATAATTGTAATGATATCTAGTTTACCCGTTCCGCTCTTTAATAACATGCAATCTTACCGGGATTTGACACTGTTTTCTTTGAGCGTCAAGATAATCGTGCTTGGCACTTTGATTGTATTCTGCAAATGTTTAGTGTGTATTTTCAACAAATGTGGAGTATACAAATAGCGAATCGCTAAGCCTGTGTAAAAGCTCTTTCAGTTATTCTTAGCATATCGATAAACGAACAGTTGGGTGTCGGAAAACACCTTTTAATGCTTGTGACGGTAAACCACCTTGATAATAGCCTCAAGTGTTATAGATTCGTCTGCAACTGATAGGGTGGGTAATGCACGTTTGCTTGAACACACCTTTTAGGTGACTGGCAGTCGACCACCCAACTACCTTCAGTAACTTGATGGCGGCTACAAACACTGACCACCATATGAGATATCTTTTCACAACCAGTCTCCCTGATGCAGGGGTCTGCGACCGGAGGCAGTAAAGAAAGACAACGGAATTATCATAGCTGCAAGTCAACAAGCTGGTTATAATAACCTTCTGTTGCCTTGGTAAAAAAAATGTGCAATAAAATTTTTAAATTTTTTTTATTTTTATACCCTTAGAACAAAGCAATAGAGCGGCCTTCTGGAACTTGTCCATGCCACGAAGGGATGTCGTACCGGTAGTTACGACATTTGCCATTCTTTCTAAACAGCGCCATTCGCACAACTCCGTCCACTTTATAAGGCTTCAAGTCGGTCGATTCTTGCCGTATTCTCCCAATGGTTTGCAGGTGAGCCCACACCTAAGAGTATAAATTAATGCCTACTGATGATGCATAAGTACAGTAGGCAATAACCTCTAATGGCAAAAATGTGCAAATTAAACTGAGGGTATAAATGGCGACATTATTCAATAAAATAAACGAAAATTTCTTACAGTAGCTACTTTTTCATTGATTTCATTGCCCCATAGGTAAATGTAGTGAAGACTGTCATTGTAGAGCAGTGCGTCGGCTAGGGCACAGAGACCCTTTTCCCGAATTTCATTGAAAGTTAAGTAGAGACTAAATGAAACACGCATAAAATTTCAGCTGCTCTTTACACAAATAAGCACATTTTCCCCGCAATTTAACACATAAAGGCACACACTTTGGGAGTTGCTTGCCATTATTTTCACCATAAATTACGTCCATTTAGAATTGATTAAATGTTACGATAAATGCTTTTGTTTCCCCTTGATAATCCCATTAGCTAGATGGATGCACTTACACAGCAAGACGATTGTTGTCCTTTTTCAGAGCTTTTGCAATGGCGATAGCGCCCTCGCATTGGACCCGGTTGTAGGAAAGGTCGAGAATTGTTAGTGAACAGCGATTACCAAGGGCCCGAGCAAGTGCAATTCCTCCATCGCGAGAAATTCTATTTCTGTATTAAAAGCTTAACTTTTGGAATCAATAGCTCACAGAGGTAACTGGCTAAATGAAGTGCAAATCAAAAGTCCATATAATCTGGCAAATATCCTGTTCATGCAATTTACGATGGTGAGAATGAATTCTTGCCTACTCTCTTCTTCTCCAAGGACAACTCAGACGCTAATAAGGTGGATCAACCCCCAATCTTGTTCACACTGCAAACAATAGAACCACTTTTACTGACACTTGAGTAAAATAACAGGTGACTTTAAGATAAAAAGACCAGTCGTCTATTCGGGCTCACGATAGCTTCCGGAACTAATTATCAACAGCCCTGAAGCCTATCCTTATGACTTTAAGAGAAAACCTCCGTAGTAAGATCCAGTCATCCCTATCGAAGGACTGGCTAAGGTGCCTTAATGGTAGGCCACAACCCTAAGTTTAAAAGATTTAGAAAAAATTCCTATGATAATTCAGTTCCAGAGATATAAAATTTAAAAGTGAAGTCAAGATCAATCAACGAGGTTTAGGATTTTTGTTTCGTTTTCCTAGTACCTTGATGAGGTGTCTGGGGGAGACTAATGAAATGCATCAGTGGTTGGCAGCATGCATTTGCGCTGACGGAAAGTAATGAGACCTGAGCAGATGGATTTTACTCACTTACTCACATTCACTAACAAATAGCAGTGACTGTGGAAGGCAGTTACTCTGTTATCTTTCGTTTTTTTTCCAAGCCCGTTGAGACAACGCGCCGTGCATGACTTTAAGGAAGAAATGGGATTTACATCGTTACATGTTGCTGGAGATGTTTCCATTTTCTAAAAACGCGCTTAAATCGGTTCTTTGGAAGAGTTTTCTTTTGTGTATAATCCCTAAACGCTTAAAATCTCTTGAATTTTGTGTTCACATTTACTTCTTCTGACTGAACAATATTAAACACGGAGGTTTTAGCTGTGCAATAAGCCGCTATAAGGCCAAGCAAAATATGAAAAAATGAGACCACTCTGCTCACTTAGCATTTAGCCAACATTCAGATGCCTACACACATCATCTCCAACTCACCCATTACCGTTGCCAAATTGAAGACTGGGTTTTTTCCTCTGGTTACATGGGATGGGAGCTCACGACCTACCCAAACTTAACCACAGACGTGGACGCAGACGCTAACTGACTGACAGCACCACTGGTCAGACGCAAATGAACCCCACTTCCAGGGGATGCACTTCTTAAAACTATGCTGATTCGTAGCGGTGGACTGCGGCTGAAGACCGAACAATTATGCCAAAGGTCTACCTACTCGATACAATACGGCTTGTAGGTGTGCAAAAGTACTTCTCAAGATACGTCTCCAACACCGTTACCATCTCCTTCTCATGCGGCCGTAAAAAAAACTTCTTGTCACTTTTGAGAAGATTTACCATTTAGGATGAAAGAAAGAGTGGTACTGCTTCATCTTCACCTTCATCGGTGTGTGGACCTGGTAGTCATGCTTTTGACACTCAAAAGATTGCTAGCTTTTAAAGTTCAATTTGCTAGAAAAGATACAAGTTCCGTATTAAAACAGTTCAGAGACCGTGAAGGCGATTATTTCAGTTGGCAAATCAAGGGCATACTACTACTTGTTACGTCACGAAATCCCTTCTTTATTCCAGGCGAGTATTTTGAAAAAAAATCGTCGATGAACGCAGTGTAATTGAAATAGAAATTAGAATTCCTCCGTAAGTATTTAATCTTATAGTTATTTACAAAATACACCAGCAGGAAGCCTTTACTTCTACCCTCGCTAGTTTTTTTGCTGTCATAGTGATGTGCTGATGTAACAACTTGGAGACATGAAAGTAGATTTAAACAACACATTCCAAACGTATATGGTGTTGAGCCACTTTTGGCCTTTGTTGCTTATTAGTATTCTTAAATAAAGCAATTCACAAATCTGTGAATTATTTTGGAACGTCACAGCAAATATACGCACCATCTAGAAGCTTGAATTGGAACGCACAGCTTACAAGAGACAGAACATAAAAAATTTCACGATCATAATCTTGCGTCTTGGGTGACTTACGCACTCAGGTCCAGGACTTGGAGGGTCTTGTTCGCCTCAAGGGCTTCGACCACGCGTTCAGCGCCATAATCGCGCATATTGCATCTGGATAGGTGTAACTCCTTCAAATTGGTATTCATCTATGCAAAATAAAGAAATCGCCAATTTTCTTCATGTCTTTTCCTCCAAAATGGGTGAAAAATTGCCAGGAGAGTAATTTGTGTGAGCACAGATGTCAAGTTTAAGAACCAATACTTTCGTGAAAATAACGGGCAATTTATTCCTACCGCCACCTGATTATGCGGTTGCCTACAGAGTCGAATTGTAAATGTTGCAAGCAAGTAAATCGGTTTTGTGGAATGGCTAAATATTTGACATTTTTATTCAATACAAAGTAGAAGAAAACCAATTTGTTTTGTGAGATAAGCACAGAAAGTTCCTCAATTATACTACTCGTGCAAGTATTCAGTAGTGCAACCGATGAAGCATGTTTAATGGGAAAACAGTCATTGCACATTAAATGAGGTGAAAACTGTTGCAATAAGTGGAAATTTAAAGGTTTCAAACCCCTCAAATCCGTCTTTATTACCTGTAAGATAAAGGGGAAAAGTACTACACTAAGACAATTTTGCCGTAATTTTTGCATTACAAAAACGAGCATTTCCAAGCATTTGCACCTGTCAATTCATTTTAAGTGGTAAAATAGCATGAAAAAGCAATAACCTAAAAGATAGTACCTTGTGCAACTTACACGTAACATTTCACATATTTGGACCGTCTGCTCTTCCTGACGGGTGAAGAGGATAAGGCGATCCATACTGAAGTAGTCAATGGTATTGTTTGTTCGAAGCACTGTTGAAAAGGCTATTGCACTAGAGATCTCCTTTATAATAAAAAAACAGATAGCTTTTCGCAGAAATTAGTAACGGATGAAATTATTGCATAAATAATAGGCAAATACCACCCGCTTAAAAGGGACAGAAATGAATGCAAATGAGGCTTACCAAATCGCATTCACCAACATCTAGCTGTGTAATTGTGGTGTTCCGTAGAAGGCCCCGAGCTAAGGCAATTCCGCCTGCGCGACCAATTGGATTCCCAGTCAATTTTAAGCGTTCCAATGTTCGATTCATCTGCAACACACCAGTGCCAGGCTGATGTCTGCTAGTTTGATGCATGTAGGCATTATTTTAAATTCACAGCTAAGTAGCAATGTAAAGTGGCTTTTTATTTTGAATTATTTACAAACCGTTTAGTTTGTGGGTTACGCGTTTATTCCTATTAATTTGGCCCGGTACTTAGTAATTGTAAAATTATGAGAAAGTACCTTCAAACCTTCACCAATCTCTTGAGCTCCTCGTTCCATGATATTATTTCCAGTTAAATTGAGTTCCTTCAGGCATCTGTCTTTCTTCAATGGGAAAAAATTGTCAAAAAAATCAAGTAAAACCAAAAAATATTAATAATGAATCAGTAGGTAGTTAAAAGGCCAGGCAATTTTACTTTAGTTAGCTGTAAATCTTGGTTTTAGAATTTCCACCTTGAAATATTCAGAATAAAATATAATTTTTTTTAAATGCTACTAACTTGCAGGCATTGTTCTTTGTGTCAACTAGTAGTAATTCAGACCCAGGTTTTATGTGTTTGTGGCAAGGGAGAAACAAATTTAGAAATCAAAAGCCTAATCTTACTTTGAGATAATTGGCCAGCGCAATAGCACCATCGTCTGTAATTTGGTTGAAGCGCAAGTCTAGACTGTTTATAATAGGCACATTAAGCAATGACGCGCAAAGGGAAGTGATATCATGGTCCCGTAAACGACAGGCTTTCTCAAGTGCATTGTTTCCGCAGAGTTTTAGGTAGACCCATTCAAAGTCTTCCAACCTTTAAAAAAAAGTTTAAGTTATCCAAAATTTTATTAATGTTTGGCTTTTTAATTTTGGTATGCAAATTAGAAATTGAAATTATTCTAACTAACAAAAAGGGCAAGATTATAAGCAAAAAATAAGCCAATACCCTTTATTGTAGTTTAATTCCTTTTGCATCATTTTAAGAATGAATTCTGGGGCTTTTTGGGTGGAATCATACTGAGAGCTGAGGAAGGACTGAATGAGGGCATTTAAACAGCACAACTTTCCGACCTTCTTTGTAAAAGTGATAGCCATCTCTTAACCAAAGTATAAAATAGGACGCGTTAAAGAGATAATAATAGGTTTAGAAGATAAATCCACTGCAAAACCTAAACTCACAAGTATTAATAAAGTCTTTTTACCGCTAAAAGCTCTAATTGGCACTTTTATAAACCCTGAAAGACTATCACTGCCTCGCAGTACCATATGGAATGTTAGGAAAGATTGCACGAGCCTTTGCAAAATTATTGCGAGGTTTTTAAAGTAGAATGCTTTAAAGCTAGTACAAACCATATACATACTGTCCTTAGTGTCTCAAATGCAGATTCGATGTTGTAGTAACATCAGGTTTAACTGCACTGCTGTTACGACCTTGAGATTTATAAAAACAGTATTACAATCACTATTATCAACAACTTAAACATATATATGCTAGAATAAAAAATAAATAATGATTTTATTATAACATTTTATAGAAAAATGGGAAGGCTGTCACAGGTGTTTAATTTATTTTTTGAGCGGCATTTTAAAATGCAGCGTTTGACTAAATCTAGTATCTACTGCAGTTGCTTCGTTTTTATGTTAAGTTTGTCATTTGGTTTTTAAGTATTCTACTGTTTATTTACACATTTACGCTTAAGATTTGATGGAATAAGCAAGGGCTTAGTTCCATACCCTTGACCTGTTTTTAACATTGCCATGATATATTTTTTCATTCCAATTTCTAGCTTGAGCCTTGTCTAAGAAGGACAATATTTTTGCAATTTTTGTACGCATTTGGACTTTTACCATTAGCTGAAGTTTATTTTTACACTACCCTCTATTCCTAAGTTATTCGACACTGTTGCGGTTTTTTTGCGCCCAATTTTATGAATTACAGTTTGAATAGGCCCACAAATATGTACTGCACTTGCTTTTAATGATATTTATATTTTATATGACAGCAAAGCGTTTGTTGTAAGATGGAAGTACCTAGTAGTCACAGAGCTGGATCTCAGTCCTCTCCGCGTCCTTTTTATTTACCGCCGTCAAAACAGATCACACCTTCAGCGATCGTTCGCGAATGTCGCGATTGGCTGCAGACTAGCGGTACACGACGTCCATTCACACCGAGACCGAAGGCACGTCATCTCTTTACTTACCTCAAAGATCCAAACTCACGTCCACCCACTACTTCCACTATCGTCTCCAGCGACGGTGAATTTACGCAAGTGTGTTCTTCGATCACGTATTTGACGTCTCTTTGTGATGTTTGCTAATTGGACAAAATTATTTACTTTTTTGAAAATCAGTAAATGTGAGAATTTAGTTAATTTTTTAGGCTCATAGTTGGCCTCCTTTTTCGTGAAATCCAGTTGAACAGACATCCCACTTAGGCAAATATTACCTGTCTTGATATTCGAAATATGTGTGTCACTATAACGCAATAAAATTTTCTAGATTAATCTTTTAGAAAAAGTTGGTACGATGCAAGATGGGCGAGGAGACTAGTTGTTTTCACGCAATGTTAGCTGTAAAAGTGGTAGAGGTTTGGCAAATCCCCTGATTCGTGACAGTGTGCTTCAAATGTAAACTTTTATTTGCTGACAAACTGCCTGATTAACCTGTAATGGGCAAAGTGTCTTGTATTTCAGACAGTACACCTCTTAGTTACCACACACTACTACTCCAGTTCTTGACGACTGAGGCGCTTCAGATGAACAAACTCACTATTTATGGCCTTCCTACTAAGAACAAAATGGCTGAGAGCTCTTTAAGGTGTGCACAAGAACTCTTTTTTGAGGAACAATTAGACGTAGTAGTGAATTAACCTAAAGAAAATCTTATTTGTGGTAGAATAAATGCAATACCTCATACCTCCTATCACTTACCGGCAAAAAGTTATGCATTCCGTGATGGAAGTGGGAGGCTCCACCGCCTCCATTTTCCCTTGATCATGTTCATCTGAGCGACGGATACACTTAGTAGTCAGTGCCGCGGATGCAGTTGAGGATAATCGGCACTTTTAGCTCCCTCTAATATTTACCAGTTAAGGCGATCTTGTCTGGTCGAAACGCAGTCCTTTCGGAACAAGTTAGGAGTGTGTTTGGGAAACTATGAAAAACGCGTGTTTGGTTGTAATGATGGTGCTTGTGGAGGCATAGGCTAAGAATAACGTTTTGTCATCTGCTTGAATACCTCCTCATCAATAGGCAACGAATGCACAAGAGTTGTTAGGACCGAACAGAATAGTTGCATCCACATTTCGCGTCTCAACTTCGTACTTCCTTACTACTTTACCTTGGTGCTGAGCATATATGCAGGTCACGCAACCATGGACGATGAAATTGCCCCACAGCCAACGTTAATACACTAGCAATGGTAAATTTGTGCCCCTACACAATCCATCTTCGCCACACTTTGCTTTTGACTGCCCTTGATTCGCCGGTCGCATGATTAGACAGGTTCACCTGTCATTCACCCTCCCCTATCTCCATCGTTTCCGCATGAGCCGTATCGGCCACTGCTAATGCCTTTTTAAATACATTGTTCTTTTGAAAAAATGAAACAGATTTTTAACTGTCCTGTGTTTTATTTGATGTTATATTGATATTACAGAATTCCCTTATTTTAAATACCACCTGAAGGCCATACTGTCAAGACGGAGATAGAGACCGAGATAGTGAGCAGTCTGCTTCGTTTGATGTAGATTTTAATCAAATATCCCACCTCTTAGCGTGTTAGAAAGAGATAATAAGTAAATCCCCGTTCTCTTAGTCAGTAATACATCACTTTACGAGCAGGACTGGAGGACGGCGACTCACAGTCTATCTGACAGTACCCCACATCAAGTGCATTTTATATACCAGTCATTGTCCATCTAAGAGCACGCTGTAAAGCAGTTAGGGAGCTTGTACTTTATAATTTCCCCCCTTTGCCACTTTTTGTCCCAAAATAAGCCTTTTTAAGCCACTTCAGGTGCAAATTACCTTCCTCCCCTAATACTTCTGCAACTTTACCCATCCGCGTCAGACGCCTTCCTTCCGTGATGATAACTCGAACAAATTAAGATGTTCCTTAGGGTCTAGTTTGCTTACCGGTACTAACAGTGTACCTTTCCGGGTCGTCTTAGAACCCTTCCAAATCAAAAATGTCGAAAGGGGTGGCTCATAACTCGGTTATAGAGGAACTTGGAGGTTTCCGTCAAAGCTGAAAGGCCGTGCGAACAAGGCGGAATTACTAGCTACAACGCAATGAATTCACACTTATTCGACACTGTTGCACCGTTGATATCTATATTTTCTGTAACGGCAGCATTGGACAAAGTGTAAAGTTCTCCAGTGACAGTGGAGGAGAGAAGGGGTTTCCCTTTTTCTGACTCCAAAACGTTGGTTATTGCGACGTGAGTCAGATTTGGACAGGCTATATTTTCTTTGGTCAGATTGTCTGGACCGGTACACAACACGGACCGAAGATTGGGTTAGGCGTTGGTACATCTCGGAAACTGCATCATGAGTGACAGTTGGATGCTGCTCTTCACGAAGGTCTACAAATTTGTTTGACTGAGGACTACAGGTGCAAATGGGCGATTAAACTAATTGCTGGTTAACACCTTCAGCTAGAAACGCTTGCACCTGTGGTTTTTCTTTTCCACCAGACTTCAACAAATCATCGGTCCCATGCATTATCAGCTTCTTTACCGCATACCAAAATGTGACAATAGATCACCAAAGTGTTGTCACAGGGACTCCACTGTCTCGTGAGAAAGTGTGGTCCTGTGGATTTCGTGATGGTTTCAGGTTAAAAAGTAGAAGATGAAGCCCCTACATGCCATTCCATTTAGCTAGACCGCTCTCAAACAAGTGGTCCCACCGTCTAATCCGTGAAGGAAACTCAGTGTTATCTCTTATAAAGACAGACATACACGCTGCGAGACATTTAAAACAAACGTTGCTCTCTTTTGTCTACTTAAGTAGCATGTTTTATTGGAAAAAAGTCAAAAATAAATACCGAGGCATTAAACGTCTCTTTGTTATGCACTGCTGATTTTTATTTAGGTAGGCAGTGAAGGTACAGCTACAAGAGGTTACTCTGATGATTTGTTTAAAGGTACGATTTTTCACTCCATTGATTGGATCAGAAGTTTCTTTGATTAATAGTCTACTTATTAGTTCTTTTTAACTTAAAAAAAGATTTTTCTAATTGACTTTTAGAGCAATCAGCTTTGGAGGCACAACCACGCTCGTCACGGTAAGCATGTTCATTTTCCTTCTTTTGGAAAAGGTTAATGACTTATGAAATAATAAAAAGAAAACATGTTTTCTTTTTATTTAGGACTACTTTGTCCAGTCGATGTCGATCTCGAGTTTTATCACCGATTATTGGCGAGAAGGCAATGAAAGTTGAGGGGATATCATGCGGAAGCCTTACCACAGCGGTACGAAAAAAAGTATTTCCCCGATTTTATCTATAAGAGGAAATCTTTTGTTTAAAAATAGGAATGAATATGTTTCATAAAAAAGATATCTTGGTGAATTGAGGCGGAAGGTTTCTCTGTTTTTTTTTTTAGAAAGCTGTTCAGCCAATTGCTCACCTACCTTCAAGATGTACTGAACAAGCACTCAATGAACTCCTTGATGGTCTCAATTATGCCACCTCCGAATTAAAGTCAATTGATAAGTCAAACGCCAATCAAGGAGGAAATAATGCCCCTGTTATTGTGAAAAAACTATTCAAGATGCTGGATGAGCTACATGGGCTGCTAACAAATAGCGCCTTTATGCATCCCACCACCAAGGTGAAAGACAAAGTCATTCAAACGCTGCTACGGGTAGCGGCTTTCCAGAATGCGGAAGTGCACTTCAAAGTGGTCAATCTAGGCATTTTGGTAATGATGTTCAATAGGGCTAACTTCAAAATTTCGGTTTGATTTATTATTTGTTCGATTCCTGCCTCCAAAGACCTAATTTTTTTTCGATTTCTTCAAAGTTAGGTCCAAAAGATGCAAAATTAGTGAAAATTTGCAAAATTATTTATCGGGTTGCAAAGGATGCGAAAAATGATGAAATCTTCTTACAAGATAGAAATTTTGTTGGTAAGGTGGAGATAATAGGCACCTTTCTCTTTACTGTTTTCAGCAGTACTCCAATAAATCATCTTAAGTAAAAAATAGTTGATTTATGACTAATTTGACGTTTATTTTATAACAAAGTGTAGAAGTTTTGATTGATATGATTTTTACAAATATTCTTAAGCAGGCAAGTTTAAAGCGTTTTGGTGATGGAATTACATAACTTTTAATTATGATGTTATCCTTTTGATTCGAAATTTTTAATGGAGGTCTTATTGTCTGCCTCCTGAATGGATTTGGCCTCGACTCTGAATCGTCTCTGGAGAACCTTACTACGGCTGGAATGGTTACGACGTTGGAAAGTCTTTTGTACACTTGTGGAGCAGTGAAATTTCTCACTGCATCTGCAATCACCAGAGAGGCATTTTGCACTCCAGAGCTGTTGCACACCTTAAGCGGCATCCACCAAGCGCTGGATTTATACTCCCGTACTTTGAACCCAAGTTTTGATGGGGACAGAGGCGACTCATTAAAGGAGACGGTTCATCATGTGCTTCTGCAGGTGACTATTTCAAATCATGCATCCACCGACGGGTTGTTAAGTAGGGCATGCATGATCACTTTATTTAATGATCCGGCTATTTGAACAACGGATTATGTCATTGTAATTTCCTCAGTAGTAGTTTAGGGAGTTATTTATTCTAAAATATCTCTTAGGTGACCTGTAAACGACCTTGAAATTCACTTTGTTGCAGAAAACTTTTTTGGAATATTTGTACTGTGTCTTAAAGAACTGCTTCAAAAAAGCCTTCTACTTCGAAAAAAATTGTAAGAACATTCTCCGACTTGCATGACTCTAATTACGCGTTGTGTTAAAATTAAGTAGCAGAGTAAACAAGTAAGTCCTTCCAGGGGGTATTTTTTGAAGCCTCTTCATTACGATGCGGTCGTTCATAAGGGTGTTTGAACAGATTAACTTCCATTACTTTCGTCTCCTGTGCAACTCATTTGTTATATCACATCGTACATAAGTTCGTCAATCACTCTGGCGCCAAAATAGCCCCAACTTTTAAAGGTTTTGCGTGCGTCATTAAAACCTTCAGAGAGCTTTTTTTTAACTAATGTTCCTGTCTTGTGTCGCTCATTTCCATGCTGTAAATGCTACTTCTCCAGATAACGGAAATATTTTGCGTTGCTTCGTCTGCTGAAAATGTCAGTAACTTGAAATTGTGCATTGTTGAGACTGGCGTTCTTCAAGTCGTCCTGAAATCCCTTTCACACCAATCTTCGGTTTCACCTTCTACCGTGTCAAATTCTGCAGACTTCCGCCGGATTCTCCTGAACTGGGCACGAACCATTGCACATGCGACCGAACATAGTTTTATTTGTCAACTCGTTGGAGGAGAGAATTCCTCATTATACTGCCGAGACTTCGTTAGGCTGATTCTCCTGCACAAGGACCAAATCGTACGATGTGATTTACAGGTCAATCTATAGAATTGACTTCAGTACAAGTGTTTGTACATTTCTTATTTAGGACGTTGTACTACGTCTCGCCTATGCACTGGGCAACGTAGCAGCACGCTGCGAAACCGCTAGAAGGACTATATTTTCCTCCAAAGAAAGCATTGCAAAAATGTGCATGTTGTGTCAAAAATATGCTGAAACGCTTTTAAACGGTTTGTTTAATCTTTCGCCGTTGCCCTTGATTATCCTCTAAGAACAAGCTTGTTGAAAAGTAAGCAGCAGTTAGGCTGTTTGACGTCAGTAAATGCTTACTTTTTATAACCTGAGGAGTTGAAAGTACACGGAAACGTCCCACAAAAATGTCCTTTAGGAAACACCTAGAAACTTAGAGATTCTACTGTGGTAAAGAGATTTTTACGCAATCATTTGTAAATATGAAAAGAATTTTCGACCATGCTACTGAAAAAGCAAATTTAGTAGTGAATTGCATTTAACTGACGATTTCCGTCTGTAATCTGCCTTTAAATTGGACACTTTCTTTTTCAATTCCAGCGAGACCGAATTCCTCAACTTATGATGTGTTAGTCAAGCTAACTCGCGTCATTGCCAATGCCTGCGTGGGGGCGGAGGGAGGCCTTCTGGCCGCGAACACACCCGAATGTACCTCCATGTTACTCAGGCTGTTGAGTAAGTTGAATTTCTTTAACGTATATTTCTACCGAAAGAGGAGTGCATTTCTGCAATTACGTCTCATAGATAAAGTAAAAAAGGTCTATGATATACATTATAAAAAAATTATGTGCCAATTGAACAGAATGTAAGCCCTCCAAAGGCGCTTGTTTTGACGTACCATTTGTCTCAATTGTATTAATTTAACGTGTCAGTATGGTGTACTGAAAGGATTTCTTGCAACTCGTAGACACTTGTCAAAATCATGTCGTCCTTTATACACGTAGTTATGGGCCAATCAATGTGGAACTCTTCAATGTTGTCTGTCCACTTTCTCTCGTTCTTTTTTTCGCGATCGCATTATAAAGTTTGGAGGAAATCCTGGGGGATGCGATCCCATCGTGCCTGTTTTACAAATCCGGTAAAAAGCGTTGAATTTTACCTAGGAGAGAGAGTAAGGAGTGCGTATCAGAATCCATCTTCCAGAAATGGTTTACACAATCATCCATTGCTACATAATTCTGGGAAAAAATCCATTATCTTTTTGATGTCTGTTTACACTTGCATAAACTGCGAGGTTTTTGACGTAATCTGTCAAGTTGTCCTCTCTTGCTTGTTGCATGTACATTGTGACAACTTACCGACTGATAGGTTAACTGACTGACTTGCTGTACTCGAGGTCCTTTTTAAAGTGCCGATTGTTAAGCGGACGTGCTTATTATTGGTTTACCCTAAACGATCCAATCAAGACAAGCCAATTGTCAAAGTGATTGTTGTGGCCGATTTCTAATTGGCCGTTGAGCTAATTGGCTTAAACTCTCCTTATAAAAAGACTCAAATAAATCCACAGCTAATGTTACTTTTTTGTTTTCTTTTAAGACATATCAACGACCACTGAATTGTCGAATGATGAGCTTTTGAATAACAGCCTAGCTGGATTGAATAACCTTACCTTTTACATGACGATGGAGAAAGACTCAGAACTACTCTCTCTTCAAGCCGACGTTGGTCAAGGTACTTCTTAAAAATAGGTTAAATCGGGTGGTCAAAAAATTTCTTTTTATTTTTGACACAACCTACATTAATGATTTGGCTGTTTTCCATGTAGTCGATTCCACGGCTGTGGATACTTCTCGAGTAGTTCTTTGTACAGCATTTGAAGATGGCTTGGCAAATGAGTCTGGTCTCACGTTTAGGAAAATTTCCCAACCTTAAATATTAAGCCCGGCTTGCCGTAAATTCGCACCCATCCGTATAACATGCAATATACTGTAAAGGCCACGCGAATCATGACAATTTGCTATGCAGTTGGGACTGTCTGCTGACTTCCTGATCCATCAAGCTGAGGCAGAAGAACCTTGGAGTCCCTCAAGTTGAGTGCCTTGCGTGTATTTGACGCGCCTTAGAGGTAGTTGTTCACTATTAATGATGTACTTTCTGAAGGTTCAACAACAGTCGCGGTTGGGATCCATCTGCTCGATCAGATGCAGTTTGGAGACGTGATGACAAGGTTCCTACTGTGCTGCAGCCCCATCTCTCATTCCTCTAATTGATGGTTGTCACCTTTTCTTGGTTGTAAAAAGCACATCTTTTCGTTTAAAACGAACACCCTGTTCTGCCTAAGTACCAGACTACTTAGCTTCCGGAGGCAAAACGCCTAGGGGAGGGAAAAATATAACATAAACCTATCTGGCCACTACAAGTTAATGATCTCCCCAAATGAGCAGCAGAACCCGAGTATAGATTACGAGTTTTTCTTTTTTTCTAGAATGCATCAAATTATTAAACAAGTTTTCTCACAAAAAAGAAACTTCCCTAAACATTGTGCGAGTCCTCGGCAATTTGACTCGAAGTACAGACATTCGAGCATCTATTGTGAGCTCCATCAGCTCAAATCTTGACGACCCCTGTCTGATTGATCATTTTTGGAGTCTTCTAAAATCTTGCGATGAAATTGTCTACAGCACGCTGGGAGTTCTTATCAACCTCATGCTGGAGCCTACCTTCCTCTCAGTGTTTCGTCGCCGAGACGGACTGCAGAAGTGAGTGGTAAATAACGTGACAGCTGGAACCAAGAAATTGCTGGTTATTAGAGAACTACCCCTGTTCCAAAACCACCATCAGTATTGAGACAGATCCTAAACTGCCTTACCTTTTATACAATCTCTATTAATGCCGATCGTGACCTTGATGGTAGATATTAAGGCGCAACCAGTGTGAAGTTTCGAGTCTTCAAAAGCGCGATTAACCATGCTAGCGAAGATGCAAGGAAAGACTAAACGGTTTTAGACATGACTAAAAGGCCACTTCTGGTGGTGGACCTTCCAGCGACATCCCAAATGCAGTAGTCTTGAGGATTCCAATCAAAAGATTTAGAGGTTATCCACTCTTGAATCGTGCAGAATGTATTGCAGGGGAATTCTGATGATACTTGTAAGCGATTCTCCCACTCAAAGGCCTGACAAATACCTTCAATGCCTTTGCACATGGCAAAGATCATGTGTTCATCTAGGGTGCTTTTTATTTAATCTCCATAGAAGAGCCATTCCCAATAAATGCTGCGAGATCCCTTCCTGACTCATAAAATAGGGACACTTTTACTGTCATTAAGGATTTTACCTTAACGGGTAGGAATGTTAGATCATGACTTTTTTGACAGAGCCATGGATTGCCCTCCCTAAATTTCACCGTATTCCGCATTCAACCCGCTTGAACAAGGTCAAAACAAAAAAGCCGAAATATTTTCGCATTTAAAATACTTCAGAATGGTGGATATAATGGGCACCTATGCTGGAATTGATTGGCAAACAGCAGCCCTGTCGGGAAAAGTGATGTGCAATTTTATCGCCTTCATTGACAGTGAAGCAGAAGCTGAAGAAGGAGGCAGTAAACCTCTGGGCCTTAAAAAACCGACTGAATTGGAGCCTCTTCTTCGCAAACTGATTGGTCTGTCCGCATGTTTTGTGCTTATCATGCTTAAGGTGTTACAAAAAAAAAAAACTATCTTTACGCATATCATGCTGCTTTTGCAAAAAGCTGATTAACTCGAACGGTATTAAAAGTAGAATTATTTTGTAACAAATTTGCTACTCATCATGGAGATCTAAATAGCTTCTTTCAAATGGTGAATGCAATGAAATAGGTAATATGTTGTAAGGTTTTGAGATTTACTTCAAGATGAAGGAATACACACTTCCCAGGCAGATTATACATACGACGTAGAGTAGGCCGTAGGACTATTTGCATGGCCGGAGGCCAACCCACCCGAGAAGGTGAAATTTCAGAGCACGTAAGTGGCTCCTTTAACAAAACCTTGAGTTAAGCAAACAACTACCTATTTAGATTTTACATCCTGTAGGATCTCAACTCCTCTCCGAGGTTGTGATAAGTCATTCCATTGTGGAGAAATACTTATTGTTAAGGCCTGAAAGGGTTGAGAGTCATGCCCGGAGGACTGCAGAAACAACTCGTATAGGCAAACACGTGGTCATACAAAGATATTACCACTGCATATTGGCTTAAGTACGTCGAAATTTGCCTGTAAATAGCCATCCTTGGTAAAGTCTTAAGTGATGCTAGATCATATCGCTTACATCTGCTTCAGATGGATGTCACAAATGGTAATAAGCACCAAAACTGTCACATTGTCTTATACTTCTCTCGTACGCGTTATGCCAACGTGATGGGGCACCTTGGAATGTTTGCTGTCGAACAACCTGATAGATCGAATAATAAGGAAGGAGAAGGGTCTTTGTATTCCATTGTTCAGCTGGAGCATAGACATATCATTAGTTTTCCTCAGACGAATCACTCCTTCCACCTCTATATTTTTAAAATCACATGCTCCTTCACTCTCACAAGACTAGGCTTGCTCCTCATGTATGTGTGTGGCGATTCTTTGACCTGTTGAGGACTTATAATCAAGCTATTGCTGAAACCAGTCCACTCGGTTTGTGTCAGCTCGATGTTAAGGAAAAGTTACTCTAGAGAAGTGGCTTAAACAGTCTAGACCAGTGAACCGACCTAAAGAAAGTCACATTCTTGTAAGCCAACAAAAAATCTTATGCCTGTGTTTTAAAGCTGGTTTTGGACAGATTTCTAATCTTAGAATTGCTGAGAGGGAGTTGCCACCGCACTTTCATTATTCCCATTCCTCTAGTAATATTTTTCAAGCTAACGAACATTACCTTAGAAGTTTAGACATGAAATGGAGTTAATAATGAGAAGATCGGAAAAAAATCCGTTAAACTGCGTTTTTTGTTTCAATTGAAAATCGTCTTAGGAATGTGGAATTCAAGGGCAGCTTGTGTCACTTCGGGAAACAATGTTTGCTCACACTGAAAATAAATACAATATTCTCTACCAGTATTTTTACTAATTTGGGTTTTCAACCAAAATTAAACCGCCAGATATTGCAAGGTTGCTGCACTTTACAAACTTATTTAAAGAATTCTATTTGACTAAGACATTTGCTACCTAAATGTCTACGAGTTAACCCAATGTTATTTTTCATGTGAGTAATATATGAGGACGAAATTGTTTTCCTTTCTTTTTAGACGCGAAGAGAGTTGAGGAGATGTATGGAGATATTGGATCCGGATCAAGTCTGGGAGATAACAACTGCAGTTGTCATCAGATCTGGAAGGCTACGTGGAAGGAGGAATTCCTACCCGTTGCATCCCATCTCTTATCCTTATTGAATAAGTTCTGCTAGTACTTTAAATTATTCCAAATGGACACGTTTTTCCGTGAAATAAAATTATGAGAGCAATAGTTTAGTAAGTGTAGAATAATGCGAGGAAAGTGGCAAGGTAGGAGGTACTACTGAAGTGAAGTAGGAGGATGTTGATAGTAGGAGGGGAGTGGTGTAAACTGGAGTGCGAGGAGGCGGACGCGTGGTTGCAGCAATGCACAGCATAAGTAATGGTGTAGGGCAGATGCAAGTGCTCGTGACACGGCGGGGCGGTGTAGCTGCCAGTTCAACAAACCTACCTGGCGATGGGTTCAGGGTGATAAGCAGGGGTCTGTCCCCAGATGGGGGCTCAGCATTGCACTTTACTGCGTTACAGCCTGTCACAAACTCTAATTGGGTTCTCTCGGTTGCATACTTTGCCAGTGGAGAGCATTTCGCCATCCGCCCCATTCCCACCGTATACTTTTTGTTGACTCGTTTACCAAAAGATCTCTTTGCCTCCTTTCGTATCTGATTTCTCGCCCGCCTAGGGGCCACCTTAGAAGCTTTAACTTGTTTATACGTCAATATTATATCTTCTTCCCTACTTCTATGAGTTTTCACGGCTTCTGGAAGACCTGGACGCCACAGAGCAATATGTAATACTTACGTTGTTTTAATGCACCTTTCAGGGAGGAGGCAAGCAGAAAATTCGAATCTCTGATTGGATTGTCCTCCCCCGTACCTAGAGACTACAGCTCCCCTCCTTCCTGAACATTGTATTTTCCCTCTCCATCTTGTCACCTTTAATAAAGGTATCCAAAGCGATTCAACCGGCCTTGTCTAAGAATGCTAGGAATAGGGAAGCGGAGACCGATGAGTCTCGCTCCACAAATAAGACTTAGACTCTTTAGGTACTTGCATGGACTCGAAAAATAACACATTTTTTTTGGCAAACGCCTCAGTAATACGCTGTATTACTATGGGGTTTTTCTCACCTTTGCGTTTGATTACACCGTTAATTAATTGGTCTAAAATTTTAATCCCTCTGGGCAGCATCAACTCCACGCCACGCAAATAGCACCAGTTCTTCTGTGCACCAGTACTGTTTATTTGTCATACCACTAGCTTTTTACGACATCGGAAAACATTGGGTGAGTTACAGTTGTAACGCCCCGAGACTTCCTCCACATAGAAAAGGTAGTGGGGCTACTGACATGAACCGAAAGCCAGCCCGCCCGGAGAGGCACAATGGTTAAGACAAAGTAGCCAAGCTAACAATCAGCATATTTCAATAATAGTGTTGAACATTTTCAGTATATTTGGTAAATTCATAAAGGCTGCAGTCGGTAAAAAAATCACCTAAATAAGAACAACAGGTCATTTGCCACCCTTCTTTTGACATATTATTGCCGACATCTGTGATGGATAGCCATGAGTAATTAGGGGTCAGGGCGATTATTAAAATATGTTTAGTTACTACTACTAACAAGGTGCTTTGTTTCTACAACAAATACTAAAACTAAAGCCTCAAAAATACTACTGAGTTTTTGTTTGGAACTAAAGATAACTATTAGTTTGTAGAGACCTTCAAAGAGTACCTTGTGGTTTTAATCGATCACGACCAGAGCGGCTCATCTAATCTTCGCCGTTATCCTCTCGTCCTTGTCCGTTTTGCACTTTCGGAGAATGGACAAACTTTGTACAGAAACACAAGCTGAAATGGATAAACGACGTCAAAGATCTGACAAGATCTCCTCCTTATTGGGCCAATATCTTCTTAAGGGTTGGAGAATGCTCGAAGACTGTTGTCCAGTTTGCGATGTGTGTTTGATATTGCCTTTCAGGATTTTCCCTTACTATTATCAGATTGTGGTTTAGTTTATTTCCTTAGACGATATTGTTAATGACCAAAGATGGAGCTCTGTATTGTGTGGGTTGCTCTGAAGTCGATATTCAACCGTCACAAAAAGTTGCAAAGCATACAATCGACACCGTGAAGTTAAGCGGAAAATCAACTCACAGTAAGACCTCCTCCAACGATGATCCCGGTACTTCACCCTCATCCCGAAAACCTGTCGTGAATTTAGCGAAATCAGAACTTTCAACTAACACGTACGCGATTTTTTTGCATCTTTTAAAATAACTTTTTAAACGCAGGGTGATCACCCTAATTCTTATATTGACTACAGGTCTATTGAGATAAGTACTAACCTGCAATCAGTTGAGTCCATCCTTCACAACAAAATCATTGATTGCTCTCAGCAGCTAACAAAGACTTCCGATCTGGAGGAAATTCGGCGGCTTGCTGTATCCATTAAAGCCCTCTCTGAAGCTTTTATCGTTATCCGAAATTGTTTACATTCGTAATTGTATGCATTTTTATTGTTCATTACTTTTAATAAGAGTTAATCTACATCCGACTCTTACCTTCATCATCACTTGAATGTGTCTTGTTGGCACCGTGGTTGCCCAAGTTAATCCGTTCTTGTTCATAAATTTTGGTTCATTTGCTTTTTACTTCTCTACTTATTTGGAGATTTGATCGGCATTTAAAAAATTTGGCCTCCAAAGACTCGTCAGTGCAGCCGATTCGTCCCAGCAGGGCGGGTTGATTCACCTGGCGTGTGGATTGCGTGTTATCTTCGCGAACTACTGCTCAGAGCCTTGGAGCTTCCCGGTAGTGACTGTAGTGGCTAGGAATCGCTAGTTCTAGTATCATCACTAGTAGGTGCGCGACTTGGTTCTTTTGAAATGCCAACCTTTCCATGATGTGCTTAAGACCTTCTACAAGAGTTACTTCTGCAAGCTCTGGGTTTACTACTCCGTCTACTGCCACCCCGATCAACGGTATTTGTAGTGGCGCATGATAGTTGCGCCACTTAACTGAAACAGGAATCACTCCCCACTTGCTGGGTAGCACCTCTTTCAGTGGACATTAAAACAAGAACCCTATTTGATTTGAGCGCCCTTCTCATCCCAACAGATACAATTCGATAGCCTGCTTCGTAGCTAAAATACATTCCATTTAAAAACAGATAGTACAAAAGGGCGTTCGTATATACAATAGTGGGGTAAAGGAAGGTAACCCTAAAAATCAGCGATCACTGATATCGCGGATAGTTGGGATGTTGTTGTGGCTGTTGCTGTTGAGGTGGCGGTGGTGCCATATTTCCGCCCGGATAGCCTCTCATATTTGCATGCTAAAAACGAATTTTTTTTACTATCAAGCAATGAGTCGAATCGACAAAAAGTTAACAAGTCAGCGATTTGATGTTTACTGAACAGGGAAGAAGCGAACAAGAAACGGCAGCATAACTTGATTTCAAGGTGTGCAAAACTACTGGGCACCCAGAGACATTTGTTAAGCAAGCGATTGTTAGCCATCCGCAAGTGGGCCACTTACTATTCACCTCACACTGCTGCACAGGACATCACTCCAGGCCCGGTAGACTACGCTTAATGCATCACTAACGGGATTATTCACCTGTAAAATCTCCAACCACCAAGGGCGAGGCACACCTACTTGATGCACTACAACTCAAAGGTGTGTAAGGAAACTCCCGCCTCGGAAATACCCAAGGCAAGTGAATCAGTCGAAAGAAAGCCAGATTATAGCAGGACAATGGAAGACCTCATACCGCGAAGCTGAACCGTGGGAAGACTTGAACTTTAGGATCGGACAAAAATGAGGCACTCCCTCGCCCTACATATCTCCTCCATTGACATTTCTTCAATTGCTCATTTCACTTATCTTGATGTCAACCACATGTGAATCCGAATAGACAGCTGGGCGTGAAATGAAAAATGAGATAAGAACAGAGGTGGCTAAACCCAGACCGAGACAAGGTATGAAAAGTTTCTTCCCTCACGACAGCATTTCGCTGTAATGAATGTTTACAGCTTAGTCTCCTCACCATATATAGCCGATTTGTTGAAACAAGGGATTCAGCATCGTCGTAGAATTTCCTCGTTAATTAGCGCCCATATTAAAGAGCTCGCATCCATCAACCGCACTGGTCCCGACTCATCGTCTAGGACGACAAAACATCCCAAGCCGTTGGCGTACCCGCCTTGATTTTGAAATCCAAAAACTTCCCTTACGGTATTCTGAGCTGTTTGTAGAGCAGCATCGCGATTTCATACTGAAATTCACACTCAAAAAGGATGCGATTTTCTGTAGAAAACAATGCTACAATTTTGTCAAATGCAAGATCGAAAAATTTGAACGTCTCTTATTCTAAGGCGAAAGTTTTGTCCATCGACAGTGCAGACATTCAAATGTTAACCAGTGAAAAAAAGATAGGAGAACCGGGAACAGCTCAAACCTAAACTTAAATGGCACGACTCAGGCAATGACTCAAAAATGCATTTCGATCTTTTCTCTAAAAACTACCCCACATTTTAACAAATGAATCGGAGAATAAGACAGGGAACGCGGAAGGAAGAAACAGCGATGAATAAGAAACACCTCCGAAAGCTTAATATTGTAGAGAATCAGGAGTTTCTTACTTCTTTTCAACCACCCCTAAATTTTCTTTCATCACTCCAATACTGGCGGCGAAAAAGGTCACTCAGGAAGGGTAAAGCGGGGGGAGAAGGCGAGAGCAACACCAAGCAATCAATGAAACAATAATAATTCAATTCAAACAAGGAAAACATGTTTCAGGAGTAATGATAGATAGCAAATGGGCTTTGGTAATTGAATGACATTAGGAAACTTTTCTCTTTTAGCTCTCTAAAAGTTTTTGCGCCAAGTTCTCCATATTCTAGAACGCCTCAAAACTCATGCTCTTGTTCGGTTTCTCTAGTTGTCTAGCATCATGTTCATATATAATTTAAATCTGCCGCTATTTCACAATTCTACGAAGGCCAGTCAAAATACATTGGGTATGTGAGAGCGAAACGACTCTGCGTCTCTAGCATTCAACCAGTAAAGACGTGCACACACACACATACACACACATCGTACTTCCAGCTTAATCATAGTGGTCGGCAATAAAGACGTTCTTACTGAAGCCCTTATCGATAGGATCCATACACAAACAAATAGCAGTCTATGGCAAGAAGTGGACCAATTTGTCTTGGGATGGCACATAACTGTGGCTCATCGATACAAAAGTAGCCTTAAAAAGATAACCAAGGAAGGAATGTCAACTCGAAAAAGAGATAAAAGCAACATCTAGTCAATCACCTAATCAGCCAGCAAAGCAACAGTCAACGGTGAACCAACTGAAGCCAATGGAACACATCTCACGGGAAATGGTGGTGGTGGAAGAGGGTAGAAGCACTGATAAGTCTGGGGGTGGGTGGACCCCATGTAGCACCATTCATTCGGGATAGGGGGCGGTAGCGGTGTTGACGATGGCAGTGGTAGGGGAGGGTGAGGAAGAACTGCAGAAGGATAATTCTCACTGACCCTCCCTGACTCTGCCCCTGCTTCTGTCTCCGTGCCAACCAAAAAACATCCCCGCTCGTACTGCAAGATTGTGGAATCCCCGTATTTTTTCGGAATGGAAAGAAAACACGACAGATAGAGGTGAAAGAACCACAGAGCGAAACTTAATCAGTTATGGGAAATTACGCTAGCAAGTGAAAAATTCGCAAGTTTGAACTTTACAGAGCAAAATCCCTTACCGTTAAAATCGGATTCTAAAAGCCCCAAAACCAGAATAGAAAATATGGCATCGTTAAAAGCCTTCCGATCAAATCTCGTGTAGTAAAAAATAAGCAAATGAAGGAAGGTGGTTGAGATTTAGTCCGTTGAAATAAGCACAAGTTCTCAGCAAGCTACAACTTTACAGATTCCACCTTTATTTTTGGATCCAGAGGCAAAAAATCCGGTCCCAGCCTACTCTGTTTCTATCGCATTTTACTTCCAATTTCCTCGTTCGATGTAGCACGTGATATTCTATTCCGAAGAAAAGATGGTAACCACCTGTCTCAGTAAATTTCATGCTCAAGTACACATCTTACGGGCCAGTTTTGACCTACAGGGACTAATGACTCGATCCGAAAGTTCCAGAATTCTTTCCTGCACACATTGGATTAATTAGATTCCAGCAGATGAGGAGTTCACAGTGGAAACCACCGTTTGCAGTCCACACCATACAAAGTTAGCATGGTTCTTTAGGAAAAGACTTAGACTGGAGAGGGTAATAAACTTATGCATGGCCACACTTCATAAGCTATATGAGGGATGAAATCAATTTTATAATTCTCAACAAGGAATAAGCTGCAACTTCAACAAGAATCACCGTCATGGCATAGAATGAGAAAGGCGTTAAGATTATTTGCAGAAAGTGTCTTTAGTTAATTTTCCAACAGTAAACCACTTTGAAAAACACTAACGGAAGCTCATTTTCGATATTATAACTTTACAATAACATAAAAAGATGTAACAAGAAGTTCTATACCCTCAAAGCAAGTCAATAAAGTTACTTCCTTAAATTGTTCAGGACTAGATGGGATGATCACTCTCCGACAAGATGCTCCCTTCAAATGTATATAATTCCAATAAGCTACTCTAGTTACTTTCTGACCCGATTACATGACGAAAAAATCCAATTCTGCAATAGTCATTAAATAAACATGCTATCTGAAGATGAAACACTGTAGCTTCTGTTTTTGGCTGACTGTTACCATGAAAGGGCATTGGGAAGGAAAAATCAGATCAAGTGAACGGATTAGATTCGTAGACTTTATTAATATGTCCATATGCCCTGATAGCATCGTCACGATACAGCAAAGCCACACGTGACAAAGGCGACAACGACAAGCCGCTATCCCAAACACAAAATTGTACTGACTATTATTTCAGTAGCATATTTTGATTTTAAAGTGCCACCTTAATTCGCGCTCAATAGTTGTCAGCGCAAAAGCGTTTATCAAAGTCAAGTGGAGTTGATGTCTGAGTAATCAATGAGTGCAAAGCATTACAGGAATAAAGCAAAATATTAATCAGCCCACGGTTGTCAGTTTACTCAATGAACCAGTGATCAGAGGCATCAAAATCCAACCAGGTAAACGGGCTTTCAGAATTCAACTCGAACCGGTTTTTGTTTACTAACTCGCTCATCAAACGAGTGATCTGTGCAAATAAGACAACAAGTCATCGAGAGCATGAATAACAAGGCAGAAGGGTATATTTTTGCATCAGAAATGGGAATAAGGTCCACATCCGATAGCAATGCACATTTAAAAAGGAGCGCCAGAAAAACAATACCCGTCGGTAAAATAAGAACATTTAGTCAAGTCTGGGCAAATCAAACGCTCAGGTAACGCTTGAAAACAGCGGATAAAAGCATAAAAGCAGGAGCTCTTTCGAAAATGCCTTTTTACTCGAATAAAATGAGTAGAAAAGGAAGGGATAATTAGAAAATCCAACTGAATATAGCTACGAAATAGGTGGAATTTACCTTACCCAAGGAGGCTGAAGAGGCGGAGGAAGGTATTCCTATGTCAAAAAGCCAAGAGCTTAGTACGATCCAGCTGATGCCTATGTCAACAGTCGATTTGTAAATATTCGGGTTGAACGTTAGTTCTCAAAGAACAGGCATTAATCTTTTAGTGGCTGAATCTTCGTGTTCATTGAATATAAATTTGCCGGTCATTTATTCATGTTTTGGGGAAGAGTGGGGCAGATTAACGCGCCAATTAATAGCACCTTAGTAGTTATTTTAAAGATAGTATAAAGTTTTTGGAAAACTTCATCAGAAACAATAGGAATTGATAAGGCTAATACCATCATTGTGGTGGAATGAAGCACTGGAAATAAGGCTGTAGAAACTAGTCTTTTCAGTCTTACTGTTTTTGCAGAAGGAGTTAATGAACGTCAGATTATTTCTGATATGACAAGACTGAAAAACACGAACGCCAAAGGATACACGTAGTAAAAGCATATGCAAGCAGAAAAGCAGTGACCTTATTGAAACGATAACCCCCAATGGAACAAATAAGTAAGGAGGGCGGGGGCCTTATTCAGTAACTCGGGACAAAGAAGCGACTCATCTTACCATAGGAGGCAGAGCTGAGGAAGAGGTGAAATACTGCGCAGCAAAAAAAGACAATGACTTAGTGGGGACTGCATCGAAAAAAAAATTAATATCCTGCTTAATGAATATTTTGCATTAGAAAGTCATTAAAGCTGGTCAAAAAATTGTAGAAAAAACAAGAATGGAGTGGTATAGGGTGATGATTAGTTGGTTAATTGGTGTTGTACCCGAAAATCTGCTCCTTTAAACAGCAACTACATTTAATAAGACGAAGTAAACCCACTTTCTAGTGAAATAGACATTAAAGACCAAATTGCTAGAAAACTGAAATTCGATGCGGAGAAAATTCGTAGTATGGGACTGGGAAGTCAGACTGTGGGAAGTAACTGCGCTAATTAAAAGTTGCAAGTGTCATCAGCATTCCACAAAATCGTTATGAGGAATCACCGACCCTGTGCAGACTAAAAGCCAAAATCCCACTTCGCAAAAAAATGTATGGGAAGCCGGAGACCGTGCCGAAATAACACGACTTGCTGAAAGTAAAATAAGTAGCGCGAATAGTTTGCCACCTTACCATAGGCGGTTGGACTGATGCGGAGGGATAATGCTGCACTGTGTGCATTCCACTTCCTCCAGCCACAACACCACCAGTGGGCTGTTGTTGAACCTTCTGTTGGTGTGGGTGATGCTGTTGTTGCTGAGGTTGCGGTTGTTGTTGTGGCACTCCACCAGTCTTCGCTGCTGCGCCTTGCTGCTGCTGCTGTTGTTGTTGTTGCGGCTGCTTATTGTCATCGGGTTCGTCATCTGCAATGAATTCGCGTTTGGGGTAGGGGATTGGCATACCACCAAAGACGCTGAAAAGAAAGCCATTTAGATGCCAAGTGCAAAGTGAAATGATCACCGACCCCTATCATCTGAGTGTTATGCATGGTTGAAGCACAGGCAGAAATGTGGTCTGAATTACCAGCATGACAAAAAACAATCTCACGAAGCCAACGTCAATTTCCAGATTTGGAAATAGACCAACGAGTGGGTGTTGAAAGTCACTTCACATGGATATCAAATTCTAAAAAAGAATTTACGTATCCCCAGTTTAAAGTTTGATCCTTAAAATAGAAGTACACGCCATCCGAGTACAAAGTGGAAGCGCCAAGATGTTTTAGAGGTGGAATCATACCATATTTGATGGAAGTACGCCCAGGAGACCGTCGTAAAGGAAACGTGGAGATTTTCTGTCCCAAAGGAAAACCAGTTGGTAAACCCCAGATCTAGCTTTCCATGCATTTAATTCAATGTTTTTTTTTTGATCTTCGTAAAGGGATCAAGTTTCAAGAACAGGAAACAAATTTACGAAGCCTCCCTATGAATGCCTGGTTATAAAGCAAATATCCTCAGCTCTTATATCAACCACTTCATAAGGAATCTCAGCTAACTTTATCAAGCTACTAGAATAAGGTAGGAGGGTATACTTTGGGAAACTAGCATCAATTTTCAACTTTGAATGAAACCTAACTATCTTTAGCTTCGACTTCAACGTCTAAAAATGGAATCAACGCGGTGCAAACCTTTTAAAAAGCTGTTATTGAAAGAGATTGCCTGTGGCTACAAAATTAGGCCAAATTATCCACAACGCTTCAACCTATTCCAGACGCAGAAACGGACCATGGAATCGCTAGAAATATTTCGTCGAAATATCTTAGATCGTAGAACCTAATATCGCATTGATATAGGGACACTTCAATCTCCGGGGGATGCACCCAATTGAAGGCATAGCCACCCGACCAAGCCTAAGGCATCCCAACCCCTCCCTAAGTTAACAACATTCCATATACGCACAAATTTGTAGAAATATCCCGGTAGAATGATTAAACTCACTCCTCATTCGGTTTTTCCCCAATTTTGAAATAGTCATGCTTCAAAGCATCTTCAGCTGACGGTCGTCGAAGGGGATCTATAGTCAGCAACGACTGCAGCTGTTCAAAAAAGATGTTAAGAAATTAGACCGACTCAAAGTGAGAGCATAAAGGGGACACTTACCAGAGAAATCTCATAACGTCCCATGTTAACCTTTTTTCCATGAGATAGCCCTCCAGGTAGTACTTGCCATATGCCTTACGAGTTATAGAATCACGCGTCAGCTGAGGAAAATCGGGCATCTTTCGCATATCCGGCCAGACATCATCTATGAAGGAATAACGCCTCAAAAAAGTACAAAATAGGAAGCGTCACCACCGCAGAAACAGCAAACGCACCTGAGGGATACCCCATCACCCGAAATATTCTCTCTAACTGCTCTTTATGATACGGTGTACTGGTTTTAATATCCTCTTGTCGGCAGTGGAATATTGGTTCGTAGGTAAGCAACTCGGCAAAGATACAACCAATAGCCCAAATATCTATAGCCTTTGTGTAATGCCTGGCACCCAATAGTAATTCAGGCGCCCGATACCAAAAGGTAACCACAACTGGGTCTAGATCAGCTAGGGGCTTGAGGGGCTGATAAAAGAGACGGGAGAAGCCGAGATCACCGATTTTGACGCAACCGCGTTCGCTGCCTTCACCCATCACGACTATATTCGCCGGTTTCTGGAAGAATAGGATAAGAATGGTGCAGTTGCAATACACTTACCAAATCACGATGAAGAACCCAGTTTGAATGAATGTAATCGATCCCATTAAGAATTTGATACATCAGACTTTTGACCATGTTCGGGTAAACATTGAATGAGGTCTTATTAACTTTTGCAGTGCGGTGGAATTTAATAATATGCCACAAGTCGTACTCAGCGTAGTCAAACAGAAGCCAAATTTTGCGAGTAGTGTGATTGAGAAATACTCGATGCAAAGTCATGACATTTGGGTGTTTTAGCTCACGAAGAAGCTAAAATGAGAAAAGGTGTAAAAGGGGTAGACAAACCTCACCCCAATTTCGCGGCAAGATGACATCGATAAACCCGTTCCCTCGATTTGTTTGAGTGCGTACTCGCGATCATCTTTTCCGTCTTTGCGTTTGGCTTTAAAAACACTGCCGTAGGTGCCGCGACCGACTTTGCAGCCCTCAAAATCAAAAATGTCCTCGACGCGCTCACGTTTAGCCTCCAACTCACGTTTATACTCAATATCAACCATTTCCAGACTATATGAGTAAAAAAAATAAATGAATGCACCAAAAGTCAATCAGCAAGACAAATGCGTTCTTATTATAGGTGTATGAAAAAGCTAGGGACGTTTTTAATGAAAAACTCAATGTATTAGAACAATGAGGCAGCGACTTGGTATTTTCAAGAGAATAGCAAACTTCAGTCTAATGAATGGGAATATAACCAACAAAATGAGCAGAACTACAAGACTTGACACTAAGTTCAAGCCCTAACAAATTATGTACATGTTTGGAAATGCGGAGAGAAAGATACCAATTTCTAGTTCCTTAACAAGCCAGATACCAAAACCCAGAAATATGAACCCATCTAAAACCTAATAGCGATCACTCAAGTACGAACCCGCAACATATACTTATCTAAACAACAGAGAGTATTCGAATTCTTGCATTTACAATTGCACATTAAACCAACTACGCTTGTAGTACCTAATTTTATATTTTGTGCAATTTGTTCATAATGGTAAAATAAAAAACGTAACACGCAAAGGTAAGGAAACTAGTGTAGTTAACTCAATGTAGTCTGTTTTATAGAGAAATTCTTTCCCCTTTAAAGTATAGTGTGAATTTCTAAAATTCATTGTACTCTACGCCTGGAGATATTGATCATTTTCTGTTTTTGCTTGCACAATGAATTTCTTGTACGTAAAAACAGATATATTTTGTTCGGCGCGTTTTGTAAGATTTTCTCTATCGTGTTACCTTTTCTTCGACATTCTGAATTTGCGGTTAAATTTCACATTCTGTGGTATGTGTAAGTGACCTGTGCTTTGGCGCGATTTCGCGCAATGAATATAGTTTAAAATGCGAAATCCCACTCTTACTGAATTACCACTACTTATTTTCGATCTTGGACTACTGGACGATAAATACAGAATCATACTCCTAGCATTAGCTAGAATTGTTCATAAATAATACAAAAAGGTACAAATGATAAACAAAGATGCGCTCGAAGTCCTGTGCACCAAAGATGAACAAATGAAATGAAGAATAATGCCACTCCTTTGCGACCCGGAAAATATGGTGGTAAAGTCAGGGTTTTAGGTGTTAAAGATCTGAAAAATCAAAATCATGCATCATTGAGTCGGTTTTCTCATCTTGCCTCGCTGTCTCTGTGAGCTGCTGGATATGCTTCTCAAAGACCGTCCATTCGTCCGTGCGAGGAGATGCGATTTTCTTGAAAAAAAAAGCAACGAATAATCCTCAAGCTGATGGTATTTCTTGTAAGGGATTTGGGAAGGAAGTGCCAAACTTTAGTTTACCACCATGGTAGAAATCAATACTTTGTAGAAGTTGTGATGATCTTGATAAAGCATCGCCAGTTTTGATCTATTGTTTTGATTCACGGAAATCATATTTAACCCGCATTTTACAGGTAGTTTATGAACATAAGCCACAAAAAGTATCTTTCGGCTTTTATCGCTGATGCTATGTGCCTTCCGTGATTGATAGAACCTGTCCCAATAGTACCTTCACACTCATCTCATGAGTTGGCTCAGTACATCCTGAATACCACCAACATGATCATAACAGAAGTGCAGAAAAGGCTAAAAGCTGGTGAGAATGGCACATAAAATAAAACGTAGAGATGGCTTTTGACGGAATGCTGACAAAAGAGCAGTACTCACATCATTGATGGCGAAGACGCGAATTCGACCGTAATCATCACCGACGACAATGTGGGTACCTTTCCTCTCGAATTTGCAGCAATTTGGTGCTGCGTCATTACTCAACACTGTGGATGCGGTTGGAACCTAAAAAGTGGAAAAAAGGTAACGACTATTATGAGGACTTAGACCAGTATAAAACTGGCCCGACGCTGAAGTTCTGACAGTAAAATTCTCGGATTTAATGTGGAAAATCCCTGCATCTTACCAGTTCTACGTAAAAGCGTTATTTATTCTCAAACAAATAAGATGTACTTTGCATGAATAAAAGATGAGTACTTTTCCGTAAATGCAGATAACCTTTTAATTAGCTCTGAATATTTTAAATAATAAAAAAAAATTGGGGAATTCTTCCATGACTTAAATGGGTCAAAAAATACTGAACTCACCAGTGGGTTTATCCATAAATCATAGTAAATCTGCGAATAAATTAAGTGAAATAGCCTTTCTTGAAAAAAGTAAGCGACGCATTACTCCTAGATTTTATTTTTCAGGGACAGCGTGCGGTTGGGGCCAAGCCCTGATTTCATCATTACTCAGCACAGAAGTGCGCAAACCTTTTCATTCACCCGTGGCTGGGTTTCCTTTACGATGGCATGAAACTCGGTTCATTCCGCATAGTCCACAGGCCCTCCAGCCTCTGCACCTCTTACAACATTACTGCTAGACTTGTCTGTGTCAGCAGCAGCGTTTTTAGGATATATCTACATTGTCTACTCCCTCTGGAGAACAAAGTAGCTTCAAAGATCGTCTGGTTAATCTATGAGAAATAGATCTGCTGTAGATGGCTGAAGTTGCAGAAACGGCGACTAATTTTAAGTCATCTGCGAACGGAAGCGGCAGGCAATACATCTACAAAATCAGTAAATGTTGTAAGTAATGTGGAAGTCGTACAATTCCTCGTGTTATAGAGAGCTAAGAAAAACTAGATGGGTGACTGAATGGCGGTAAAATGGTGAATGTTTCCGTGAAAAATAATTGACAAATAAGAAGTTTTCTTGATGCAGATCATTGTTTACTTCTTAACCATATCCCCCAAAGCCAAAGGCAAATGGCATATGCTGTGATGTTAATGTATAATCTACTGTCCCATCGCGCAATTACCCTCGCTCCTCACTTGAATAGTTGGAAGAGGAAAGTAGTCACACATAGTACCTAGGAAGACACTTAAAGCAAGACAAAGGGCCACCTAGCGGAGCAATATCCGTTTATTTTTCTAGAAGAATCTGCTCAGACTTTCTACTACACGCTTTCAGACACGCATATCCGCTATAGTCCACGGCAATACTAACCTCACTGTTCATATTCAAGTTCCAAATGTCCAGGTGACCACTCATAGCAACCGTAGCAAAGAGAGCAGGATGTGAAGGCGACCAGTCGCAGTGGAGGAGGTAATCGTTTCGATCCGCAAACGATACCAACGGATGGCTTTCCATTCTTGACCACACCTTAGCCGTGCAATCCATGGAGGTGGTGAGATAGATGTTGGCATCGTTCAAGGGATCACCTGCACTAGGCACTGCTATAGCTGTCACTGGAGCATGATGATGACCCTCGAACTGCATATTGACACCTGGATCACTGAAATCACATAATACAGGATTGACATTGAGGTGGGGAGATCAATGGCAAATTGTCAGACCAAATAATGTGTTTCGGTAAGATAAGCTCGCGAGCCTTTCCGTAAACTGCATGGGCGTGTAAAGTCCATACGGCTGTTTGTCTACAGCACAAAACAGAACTATGGGCCGGTCCACCAGTACCCGATACTACTTGCATTGCCTTCTTCTAATACTCCTGCGATTTTGAGCCAGTTGCTACCACCGTGGTTAATCCATTCCCGTCTCTTCGGTACTAATATGTCAACTCAGCCGGGAAGATCACAAAGAAGCCTAGAATGGCACATACTATTTACAAGACTTCAGTGCTGTTTACAGATAGTCTGTCGAAAGGAAGTTATGATGAGAAAAACCTCTTATATTCTGCTGCAACTGAGGTTCCAAAACGCGTACAGTCTCACCATTAGAAAACTGAGTTGTGTGGTGTGTGATGCCCTGCAGGTGCGATTTTTCACTGCCGAAGGCCAAACAGCTAAAGTGAGGGTGTGTACAAAAGCCCATTTTTCAGAACCAGTTAAAACTAAAAAATCAGGACAACATGAGGCCTCACATAGCTGCACTAAATCGTGAGAAGATTTGCACTGTAGGATGGGTGTAAGAGAGGTGTCGCCTCATCTTCAGCAGCACCCCTCGTACCCCTGCGACGAAACTCCTCCAAGTGATTGCTATCTATTCTCGGTACCAACTAATCGTACGTAAGACAGATAACAAAGAAGTCTGGAGAGAGGATGCTTTATAAAAATAAATTATACAAGCTCGAGTCCCATTGGAGACATGTCGGTTATTTTAGAAAGTATTCTGCAACTGCTTGCTTCTAGAAAACTATTCCTGGTATTTTGCCTCTGGTTATTTTGTGTTTAGAGGGTCGCAGAGGGTGCAACCAACGGTTATTCCCCTAATATCAAGATACTTTTGACAGATAGCTGGCTATTGGCCGACCAAATAGGGTCCACGTAGGGATGCTGTGCAGGGATAAAGAGGAATAAATTTTGAGAGTAAAGTAACGACCAATGAAAATGTAAAATATCAAAATGGACACCATACACACCATACACATTATTTTCCAAAATAATGATAAAATAACACAAGATTTATCACTAACTTGACCCGAAATAGTTCATGTTTAATTACTTGCAGGTTTAAACTTGTGAAGGCATGCCCCTTTGCATAACAATGCTGAACCGTTACCAAAGCATTCAACCATATGCGTATACGATCAGTTTTACTTAATTTGTACAAGAAATGGTGCCTTTAACTGTTATTTAAATCACTCTGGACCGAAGCTACTGAAATTTGATTAAGTAATATGAAACAATAAAAATGTAAACATCTACCTTCCAGACCGGCAGCCAGCATAGATGAATCCATCCTGTGTACCAATCAAAAAACTGTCATCAAAATCTCGCACGAAAGCCACTGACGTAGGTGCCACAGTCTTCGCCTGCTTGTAGACAAGTTCCATGGTCTGAAACGGTTTCGCGAGCATATCCAGGCTCCAACCACACAGCCTACCATCAGCGCTAACGCTGACGAGGTTGTTAGCATTCTGGTCACCCGTCACAACAATCGACCTAATTGGCTCGCAATGAGCCGAGTTCCCGCCCAGTCCGGTCCGTTGGATTGGTGTTTTCCGATTCACTCTAACAGTCAATGAAAACCTTTGTTAGGAGTACGAGAGGGAAGGCCGAGCTACTGATTCACGAAATAAGTTGACAACAACGCATACCTAGTATCCCAAATCACAATCTGCCCCACGTATGTGCCGGCGATAATAAGGTTTGGATGGAAATCGGAGAAGATAGCAGTGGTGACCGATGCTTGACATGTGAATACCGACTCTGATGCTGACTCAGATTTTTTTGACTTCAGATTCCACAGCACACAGACACCGTCAGCGGTTGCTGCTGCGGCATAGAGATTCACAGGAGTTAGGGCCGGTTCCTCTTTCTGAATCGCGGAATAGGCAGTTAGAATAATTTCCGGATGGTTGGGAGACCAGTCAAGAGCTGTCACCACACGGTTAGACGTCCAGAATTCGTCGAAGAAGATACAGTCCTCGGTCAGCATTTGCTGTGCTTTAGCTAGCCTAGTAACCAATCAAGATACAGGTAGACGTCCAACCAATCATTAAAGCAGACCAATCATTTTGTCAGGCGGAAAATTTTAGGACTTCATTGCCTCCAAAAACCAGTTATTTTTAACAGTTGCATACGCTTGATACATTGCTTAATATTATTTGGTGAGGCCTTGCAGAGCTCAGTATTTTCTTTCGGCATAAATGTTCATGTTATGTCGCTAACCCTTAATTCTAATAGTGAAAAGTAGACAATAATGGTAAGTAAATGGCTAAAATAGGGCTCATTTCCGGATTATTCAATGGAAGACCTTGCCAGGTGTTTATGTAGGACTTTGAAACCTAGTCCACCAATCAGAGGCCCAATTAAGTTCGGGTTGTTGGCAGATGTTTCTAACGCACAGCAAAATGGCAGGATTAACTCTCGGGCGTTATGCAGATTAACGCACTCCTTTTCCAACACTAGGCACGCATTACACATTTACAAACAGAGAAATGTTGGCTAGCGCAGTGAGTCAGCCAATGAGCACCGTATCTCATTTCTCACTGCACCAAGAACAGTTACTGAGGTTTTCAGCTTCTTCCAAGTCTATAAGCGTATTTAGTTTATAATTAAATAGGTTTTTTTTTGAAAATGTAGGCAAACAGACCAGACTCCTAACGTAGTTTATATGAAAATAAATAATCTGAATAATGAAAAAACCAAAAAACTCACTTTTCTTCCTTATCAGCGCCACTGTAGTCAAAAAAGATGTCACGTTCGTCCTCTTCCAAAGCACCTTCAACTATTGTGGAGGCACGCAAAAAAAAATTCTGGAATTCTTCTGACAACTGTATATTTTTCTTGTCCTCGTCTGTCATTTCCTTCCCTGAAATCCAATCGAATATCGCTGGGAAGTTATGACATCAAATCCGGCATATTAACGTGTGTGCAACCGAGGACAACCAGTTCTTAATGGTTGTGTCTAATTTTTCAAAAAAGATAAAGAAAAGGAGAATGCTATGGTGAATTGATGAATAAGCTAGGAAACCAAATGGATTTACAGAATTGAAACGAGCAAAGGAGTGTGTCAGCCTTTACCTTGGGTTCGTGATGGAGTAGTAGTGTCTTGTGCTCGAACATGTTTATCGGCGTCGATGTGATTCGGAATAGGTGAAACCTCTACATCAATTAATGGGTCATCTCCATCCACTTTAATACAAAAAAATGAAGATTCAACCAATTCAATTATAAAAAAGTTCAGCACATTTAAAATTGTCAAAAAGTAAGTGACAATCTGACAAAAAATTATAGGATGATTATTAGCGTTAATATTTTCTTTATGAAGAGTATAAACGGCGTTTTTTTAATTATTCTTACCAGCTAGGAGTTCATCGTCCCATTCTAAACTGACTTGTGCTCTAGAGGTAGGCCCAGTCACCAACGATGGTGTTTCCGGCCAAGTATCGGTGGTAATAGCTAAAAAGGGCAAATGAGGAAAAAATCCCAAAGTTAAACAAACACGGAGTTTCACAAGGGATTTCATTTGTCGTTTGAGTCTCCTTCGAATACCTCTCCTCATTAACCGGTTCAAATGAACACTCATTTAGTCCAGAAGCAACAAGCCTGGGATGTTTTCGTGATACAGACCTAAAGGAACATGAAAAATATTCGGGATGGTATACTTTGAATCTAACGCAGGAGAACTTTGTGATTTGAAAACATTAGAATCTTTCAGGGCAAAAACCCGTTTTCCATCAGCTCCAATACCAAGGTCGCTTAAAATTTTCTCAGCATCTACACCTTTTACAGCAGGAATAGGGAGGATATCCGCAGAGAGTGCACCCTTTTTTCTGAGCGATTCTCGATGCAGTCTTTCTTCTCTTAGCGCTGCAAGCTTCACCTTTTTTAATTCAAGCTCTTCTTTTCTGCTCAAATTCGGCATCTCGACACAAAAAAATTGGGTGTGATTAACTTCGAATCCAGGATCCTCAGCCAACTACACGCAATTTCCGAAATTTGTCAAAGCCCAATTGTCCTTGTCCTGGTACGTTAAAACATCCCCTGCCCTAAATCAAGCTCTGAAAATTTGTATTGCATACACTATTTTGCTAACAATTCTTTATTATTAGCCCATAACATAACTTTTAGCTGTTTCCACCTATATTAAAGAATTTGTATTCCAATCATTTTTCCCCGTTAGGCAAATTAACCTTTGCTTTTTGGAGAGCAAGATTGTTAGCTTCAATTTAAAAAAGCAAGCTTGACGTGGAAATTTCAATGCTATGGATTTCTTGCTTTGCCAAAGGAGACGCGATGCTCAAACCGAATACACATTCGACTTACAGAATACACTAAGGCTATTCGTATAACCTGGAGGCCTGCCTACACTAATTAGGTACAGCAGTGGAGACCTGTAAGATGTTTTTGGGCAAAATCTGGTGTTAAACAAATGAACAAAACCTTGTGCAATATCCGGTAGGTTAAACAGATTTATTGAACCACGATCACTAATGTAGTCCGTTTTTAAAGTTGCTGCAGCCTTTTTCTTACTGTGTATGACCCTTTGCATTGCTTTGACTAGCAACTGTGCGGATTTTTTGCTCTAAGAAATTTATGTAGCTTAAGTCTTACATAAATCTGCCTCCTAAAATTTGATAAATCTTTCTTTCGAGTTTCGCAATACACTAGCTGTTCGTCACTCCCTTATTTTCTTCTAAATTTCATCATGAGGTAATGTTTATTTATTACTAATATGTTTATTTGCGTCGCGCCTTTCAATTCAGGCGGCGGTTGGATCGAGTTAGCGTGAGGATGAAGCTTGTGAGGTAACTGTCTGTTTTGTACTTGGTCCACAACATGTTTGCTGTAATAACCAAAGCTTTCACGTGAATTTTCGTATAGATTTCTTATGAAGTTAAACCATGAAACCGTAACAATCGAACTTAAAAATGGCACACAAGTTCACGGCACCATTGCTTGTGTTGATGTTTCAATGAATACGCACTTGAGATCCGTCAAACTTACGATGAAGAACGAGGAGAGCGTAAATATGGATACTCTTACCGTTCGTGGCAATAATATCCGGTACTTTATTTTACCTGATACTCTCCCTCTGGATACACTTCTCATCGACGAGGGACCAACTAAGCGCAAACCGAGAAAAGAAAACAGTACGTTTGCTTGTTCCATTTACTTGCTTTGTAGTTCTTTCATCAACTCGTGGTCGTGGTCGTGGCATGATTCGTGGAAGAGGCAGGGGAGGCCCACGTGGTCGTGGTCGTGGAGCTCCGATTCGGAGATAAACTCCATTTGTTGTATGTTTCATCGTCTGTACAAAGCTAACGTACATCACGTTTTTAATAAATTTTTGCCACTTGCTGATAATTTCTAGCTCTTTAAAATCCGACTCTTAGACCAGCAAAACTGCATGTCAAGGTTTTAATAAAAATTTGCTTCCTTTTATAATTTACAATTCCTTGGTAGTAGTTTTCTTCAATTCACTTGCTTATTCTTGTCCCACTAATTGGACACCTTGGTAATTGACTAATTTGTGATTTACCAACATTTTCATGTGGAATTTATGAATGTTACGTGGGGAGCCGGCTCAGTTTTGGATTAAATTATAGTAAGTTTCTAGGTTTGAATGCCCCGTTTGGATTGTATCACCTTATGCCCTACCCTGAAACTGGTGTAGTGCGGGTCACTCACTGAATTGCTTGATACATGTGTTAGCGCTGACCCTTCTGTTTAAGTGTTCCATAGGGGAATTCGGTTTTTTCCCCACCACCTTTTGGGCCTGGGTGAGCAGTCTCTACTTGGGAAGATGGTTCATTGTAGCCGCGATTAGATGGGGTCGGTTGGGCAGTGTGTGAAAAATTGAGGGGTGGCATTTTCGTCGTTTTTCCCCTTAAGCACTTTGCCAATACTGCTCAAACCGATCAGCTTGCAGGAATTGGGATTGTGTGCAGCTAGTATTAGGGTATCTCCTAAAGCCAAATTCTTCCTATTGGTGGTTGAAGAAGGGTAAGTCTTGTTCCCTCAACTCTATTTATTCAAACATAGTCTGAGAAATTGAAATAAAAAGGGACAAGGAAAAAACAGGGCGGATGGTACTCTCTTACGTGTATACAAAGTTAAGTCACGACTAAAGGCAACCTAGAAAGTTGTTTCTAGCGTAAAAAAATTTCACCATATTTGTTCCTCAAAATCCCCATCATACTTGCAGCCATCAATCCTCTTCTGTCACAAAGCGGACTTGCGATTTTTGTAGATTGGGTGAAGGTGGTTTAGCTGGGCGCTTTTTTACCTAAAGGAGGACGAATGTGAAGTTATTCCACTTACATTAACTTTCCACTATTGTTCAAAAATATTACCTTTCTGGCAAGACTGAAACGGCGATAACTCTTAACCGAACCAGTGCTTTCTGGTGTTTTCTTGGTCGTTTCACTTCTAGAACTTTCATCAACCCTTTTTCTTTTTGTTTGACTCTTGGCCTCGATTTTCTTTGCCGTTGAGGGTGACTTTATAATCGGCACAAATTTCAATGCGCCATCTGCCTCATCAGCAGCCTTTTCAACTGCCAAAGCCTCATTGCTGTGACGCTTTTGACGTCGACGCAGTGAAGATCGTCTCAAACTGGATCTTAGTGGTGGGAAGGTGTACTTTAGGAATTGATTTCCCCTATCCTTTGTCTAAACAAACGAAAGTGGAGTAAAATTGTTACTACTTATTTGAGTATGAGTAGACTTCATTTCTCTTACGAGTTCCCCACCGATGGCATCAGGAGTGGGCGACTCATGCAGTGTAGCTGGTGACAACTGCGGAGAAGTCGGATTTGAGGCAGTTTGTGGACGATTATGAGTTTTCACAGAGCTCTGAATGGTTCGTGTCCGAGCGGAGGACGAGCTCGCTCCTGCAGCAGGGTGAATACGTCGATGAGGCGCATAAATCACCGGTTTTGCTGGAAATCGACTGTCCAATAACTTGTAGAGGTTATTAAGCTAAAACAAGTAGTAGAAAGTTATTTTACTTATAACTGGACAAGTTAGACAACCCACCTGTTTAAGCATAGTGTTCAAAATGAGGTCGACTCCGGGAGTTCCGTCCATCTGACAACTAGCAGTCAAACCAACAGTTAAATGGCTTCCATAGGCGCACGTTACCACGGCCAAATCACGACACATGGTAGCTTTTCCATCGCCACTCCCAGCCGCAGTGGCAACATCAAAAGACGACGAATTTGAAAAAGATGATTTATCAAATGCTGAAGCCCCATGATGATTCGCTAGCCAGGCCTCAATTCGTACGATTGGCACTCCACCTGAGAGGTAGAGAAGGTCGAGATTGCGCTCGTTCGATGAGCTTTCATCATAAACCGTAGACGTTTGAGGTGAATTGGGACGATTGACTAGTTGGAGGGCTTGAGAAATGTCCATTTTAAGGACATTTTGACCTGACAACCAACTCCGACGTGATTGAAGCCATCTTTTGGATCGCTTTCTACCACCTAAAAGAATTTTCAAAATGGACGGAATTTTTCGTTATTGACGTAAAATTTAATGACGAACGAAAGTCCTCTCTTCTATTTTTTAGGTGGAAATAACGGTTAATAATTAGACATACGAAAAATTCAAAACGGAAAAAAAGTGGATTGGTTAAGGAGACCTCGTGTTTACACAAATGCAGGCAAAAATGAAGCAGATTTTAATTCCACGTCTAGGTATAAGTACGGTTTTTTGTGCACAATCTAAGTCCTTTTCCTGATTGCTTAGTCATTAAACCCCCCGCTGTACGGCAAAACTGAAAGAAAATCGAGGTAGATCCATTTGCAAACGGATTAGCTGAGATCCGAACATTGAAGTAGACACGGCCCTTTCTTGGATTAAGAAAAGCTTGCGTTTCTTCTAATTTTTAGAAATAGTTAAATTTGATAAATAATTTATGCCCTGCTGGAACACATCTGGACGGTGCTACCACAGATAGTGTTGCCCAGGGCAGCAGATGACAGGTGGATCCTACTACCACGCGCGGTTGGCCAGTTCTATTCATAGCTGTGGTCCAACCCATTCCAGACATACTAAATCACGGTGGCACCCAACAGCGGTAGTGCATGTGCGGAACAGTCTGTTGCGATAAATGGGGTTCCTTGGGAATGAAGTTACAAGACTCGAGCCCATGGATATCTACCAATACAGAAGGCCAGAAGTGCTGTACAGTGAAATGGTGTACGTGAGTGAGGATTCAGATCGCGTGGTGCTTCTCAGGCCACGGCGCCCATTTCAATGGTGCATACCTTATCGTTAAACCACATAAAAGACTATTCTTTCATTGAAAGTGGTAAATTGACAAGTTTGAAAAGTTGTGGTAGAATGACTCATTTCTGTTGACAAACTGTGCATAAATGAAGCAGAGGTCGATTGGGAGACGCACTATACCTACCATATTTTGATCTTTTTCCAAGCATCGAAGAAATGGATCCCTCTACACCATCAGTATTTTCCAATGAAACTTCAGCAAATGTGACGCTGCACTTGGAAGACCCGCCCAGCAATAGACTATCCGCACGCAGAGCTAAGCCATGAGGAAGTAGGAGGTGAAGCAAGTCCCGTGTCCACGCCATAGTCACAGCCAGGGCGGTTCGCTGAAGAGTCAGCATGCGCTGATGCACGCGCCAGAGACGTGGAATCATGCCTTCTTCACTCAGAGGCAGTTGCATCGGCGTGAAGATGCAATGAGCTGGTGGGCCGTTGGCGATTTCATTGAGTGCTGTCAGTGCCTCATGATGCTCGGATTCGTGACCACTGACTTCACCTTCGACGGTATCTCGATGACGATTCAGGTGAAGAAGACGTTCACAGCACAACTCGAAGTTAGGCGTTGGTGTGCAGGTTCGGATAAGTAGATCTAGAGGTGACTTCAGACCTGAAGTCTATTAAGTGTTAAAAGCACCGATAAATATAAAGCAATTAAATATTTCTTAGGCAAGGAGAAGCAAAACGATTTGTGGTTTTATAAACAAAAAAATGAGCTAATAAAGAAGAAAAGTATCCTCATATATTCTATTCCCCTCAATTGATAACACATCGGCCTATAGGCTGCAACGCTATTCCGTCGAA